TCAGATTCTTACAGAGGGAACTCCAGGCATGAATCCCCAGCCATGGTTATTTAATCAACTCAAACAGCTGTGTTCAGTATCACCTCTTTTTCTCTTGAAAAGGAAAAAAGAAATCCCTTTTTTCCCCCAGATCACAGTATTTCATACATTTCTGAAGACAAGCAAGACTGCAATACTTTTGTTCACATCAGGGAAGACTTTGCTTTATAAAAAGGCTCACCAAAATGAACAGAACAACCTCTGAAGTGAGGAAGCACATGTAAAATCATTGACCTGCCCATTAAACCAGGACAAGGAAGCAACAGTGGGAAGTCCTACAAGCATCTGGGATGCTGTCATTAATACTGCTAGCCTACCTTCAGCTCGCTGTCAGCTTGTAGAGCTGCTGCTATGTCTGCCCAGTTTGTTCCAAATGCCAAGCATGTTTGCTGTCTCTCATGCATGCTCTCACTCTTTCTGTGGTCCCTCTGCTTTTTAAAGGCACTGCAGTGCTGTTTATCTCACTTATCCCTCTCCCTCTGAGTTCCCTATACAACACTGGTGCTAACCACAGTTTATTTGAACTGAACACAATACAGAACTCTCAAATCCAGGTGGCACCTGGCAATTTATGAGGCTTAACCACAAAATTCATATAAACAAGGTCGTCTTGTGTGCGACTCCTGGGCTCTGAGATAAGTACACAGACTCTCTCTGAGGAGCACCTGCACTGTTTTTTAACACAAAGTTTGCATTTAGCTTTATTTTTTGTAGTTTCATAACTGGTTTCTTCACTGTTAACTCTCTGAGAGTTAAGAGTGACTTTGTCTTGGTCACAGTGGTATTCCACATCAAAGCTATTTCATTGAAGGCCAGTGTCTCACTTCCCCCAGCCAACCTTCTGCAGTTTGGGTGGATGACAACAGGGATCACAAAATGTCCGTGCATCTGCTACCAGTATTTAATTTTCATGGATAAGACCTCTTTAGTAATGTGTATCTGGGGTCTTGAAGGCCCTGGGCAGGCAGGACAAATCAACAATATAAAAGTTAGTTACATACTTACTGAGTAACTGGTAGGTATTACACCAGGTATGGGCCATAGGTGACCACAAAGAGTGACCAGTTGAATCTTCTTCCTGAAAGCCCAAGAAGAAAACCTATGCTTGGTTTCCACAAAGGAACTATCTCAAAAACTGACTCAAAGTGGAAAGATGTTGCTGTATAACAGCACCTTGAAAGTTTTCAGTCTCCACACATAACACTGTGCAAAAATTGTAGTGATCCATCAGATTCTTTCAAATATGAACGTAAGTTCATGCTCCAGAACTAGGAATTGGCAATAGTTGAAAAACTACATAAACACCCAGGCATTTCCCTTTTTCCTGAGACTTTGTGATCCTGCAGGACTCAGAACCCGTTTCTGACTTGCACAGTTTTCCCTGAGAAGGTGGATGAGGGAAGCCAGCGTGCTTACATTGCAGCTCAGGATCTCCCAGTTAATGCATCTCTTACCTGACAGCATCTAATGTCAGCCAGAAGAAAAATCAGCAGAAGTTGTAATACTTGATATTTTCTATAGCTAAAATAGGTGAGAGCACTCACATTCTTTTGTCTACTCTGATCTTACAACACTTTCAATTCCTAGAATCGTAGAAGCCTCTAGGTTGGAAAAGGCTATTAAGATCATCAGATCTAACCACAAACCTAACACAGCCAAGTCCACCACTAAATCTTTTCCCTAAGTGACACATCTGCATGTCTTTTAAATATCCCCTTGGGATGATGACTCAACTTCTGTGACCATCCTGTTCCAGTACTCTTCAACCCTTTTGGTGAAGAAATTTTTCCTAATATCCAGTCTAAACCTCTCCTGGTGCAACTTGAGGCCATTTCCTCTTGTCCTATCATTTGTTACTTGGGAAATAGCCCGACCCCACCTTGGTGAAACGTTCTTGAAAGGAAGGCAGATGTAGAGAGCAATAAGGTCTCCCCTGAGCCTTCTTTTCTCCTTTGAGCTAAACAACCCCAGCTGCATCAGCTGATCTTCATAAGACCTGTTTTCCAGACCCTTCACCGGTCTCGTTGCCCCAGCACTTCTTTGTCTTTCTTGTAGTGAGAGGTGCAAAACTGAGTACAGGATTCAAGGTGCTGCCTGACCAGTGCCCAGTACAGAGCAACAATCACTTCCCTGCTGGCCACACTATTGCTGAAACAAGCCAAGATACCATTGGCCTTCTTGGCCACCTGGGCACTGCTGGATCATTTTGAGCTGTCAACCAGCAGCACCTCCAGGTCCTTTTCCAGCCATTTTGACTCAAGCTATTCTTGTTAGATGATGTCTTGGAGAAGTGGTTAGTCCTGAGTCTTTGTGCCGCACTAGAGGCACCTGCAAACCAATGTAAAGATTCACACCAAAGCAAGTAATGTATGGAGAAAGGAAACAAAGTATTTATGGAATATGCAATGCATGGAGAAAGTAAAAGTGCTTAAAGGCAAATACTGATATCCTTGCTCAGATTCTGACATGCACAAAACCCTAATATGAAATAAATCCCAATGAGAAACATCTGAATGGGAGTGTTAGGATAAAGTAGAACAGAAGCCCTACACATCATTCCAGGCCAAGGCAGTGTGCAGCAAGGATGTCATGGCTGAGGCATTTCTAGAAATCTGAGAACATTAGATGGCTAGGGCCTGATCTCACTACTCTGCTGTTTTGCCTGAACTTCCGAGCAACCTACTTTTTTTTACTATTCACTCGCTAGCACTTGGAGAGACCTTTTCAAAAAAAAAAAATCAAGTCGAGCTGCAATGCCAGATATCAATCAAAATCACTCTCTGCAGTCACAGACTGATTTCCTCTCTTATCTTGAAATGGCAGGCACAGTTCCCTGACAATACGCATTGTTAGGATTGAGGAATTTGAGGCTCTTTGAGAAGTTTAGCAGATCTCTCCCTCTGGGGTGCTTCAAAACTTCACCAGGTAGCTGGCTGCCTGTCCCGTCCCTCCGGGAGCCTGACTTCCCATGCAAAACCACACTGTACAGGCATCAGCTTCCTTATCAAAGGAACCACACGAGCATACATAAGCCTAGTCAAGTGCTTTTCTTCCAAGTACACAAGAAAACCTTTGGAAAATATGATCTCATAGGGATACAGCAGGCAGCTAAAGATTTTAATTGATCTCAAATTGCTACAGTTTTGGGCGTCTTTTGTGTCCGTAAGAGCTCAATTGCTGAACAGTTTGAACTGCGCAGATCCGATACTGGAAAATGTTTTCCCTGTGCAGCTGGCACCACCGAGTGGAGGAAAGCGTTTTTGCAGTCCTTTCTGTTACAGCATGGACATTAATACGTGACAATGGGCCTAAGTCTTACGGATTTGAAAACCCTTTTGAATAAAATAATTCATTTATTCTTGGAATAAAAAACTTCAGCTAAGTTCCTTGAACTCTCAGTTAAAATAGGTTGGACATCAGTGCAGATTATAAAATATAGTATTTTTCAGACATACAAAACCCTCCATCTAAGCCATGCAATGATAAATTTCCTCATTTTACAGCTCATGAAAGCAGCATACAGTATGTTCTTGGCAGGAGAAAAGGGTAGCTCTGAAATTCGGCCAGTTGCCCAGGAGCGGATCCACAAAGTTTCAATTTATTTATTTGTCCTTAATGTTGTTATTTCTTTATTGTGATTTTTTTGGAGCTCTATCTGATGGCCCAGATATTTCTCTCCCTTAACTCTTTAGCTTCCTGGCAGGTCCTAACAAAAAAAAAAAAAGTGTGTTTTGGACATAAGCAGTGCTCAGAGGGGTGTGTTATTAGAGTCTGGCATGGCCTCGACTCCGGGAGCAGCACCCTGCAGAGGGAGACAGGCACTCTAGCCAGGGAACAATCCACTGATTTCCAGCTCCCAGGAGCATGGCATGCGGACAGAAACACTGAAAATCACTGGAAAACTGTGGCCCTCAGAAACCCCCCATACCCCTCCGCAGCTTACATCCCCCCCCGAACAGTGGGAACAGTTTGTTAGATATAAATGTGTGTTAATCAGAGATTCTTGCCAAGAAAACTCCCTAATGCAACCAACCAATTTCCCCTCGTTCGAGCCTAAGGAAATGAAGCTGTGTTCACACTGTCCCGGTATTTCACTTCCCTACAGCTGCCCGCTGTCCAAGCCACCGGGAGAGGTGCAGAAGCAGCGCACCCGGCTTCGGTGCCTGCAGGAGTCCCCGTGGGACAGCTGGGGCAGGGAGAGGAAATTCTTTCTAATAAGCATGTGGTTTGGGCTGAGAAACGCCTTTTCTGCTGCTCCCCAGCCCTTAGCACGCACACCACCACCCCCGCCAGCCCCGGCTTTCAGCGCCTCCCTTTCAACAGCGCTCAGGACGGAGCGGAGCGCATCCTAGTGGCTCTTCGTAAAAGCATCAGCAGCGCGGAGCCAACATCGCCCAGGCGGGAGGATTCAGCCACCGGTGGTGACAGTTTTGTGTGTGTCGGGGAGGGGTGGCAGTGACACCGCAGTCCCCGCGATCCTGCGAGCCCGCCCCCGCGGCGCTGCCCCTCCGCGGCGGCAGAGGGCGCTGCAGCGGCCGCGGCGCCCCGGGGGCGGCGCTCGCTCCGAGCCGCTGCTCCGCCGCTTCCCGAGCACAAGCGGAAGCGGCGGCGGGCGGGGAGCGGCCGCGGGTCGCGGTGAGTCCGGCGGGACGCGGGGGACGGCCGGCAGGGTGGGGGCTGCGGCGGGCCCGGACGCCGGACTCGGGGAGCGAGGGCCCGGCTGCAGTCGGGCCGCCGCAGGCGTGTGGCGTCGCCGGGCGCGGAGCGTTTTTCCCTCGGGCTGGGGCTGCCGCTGGGGAGCAGAGCCGCCTCCTGCCCGGCCCGCGGAGCCCTTCGGCCCCTTCCTCCGAGCGCGGGGCTCGGCGCGGGGCCGGGCCGGGCCGGGGGTGCCGGGGAGGGCGGCCTGCGCTGGGGCAGGGCGCTGGTGGGGCTGGGGCGCGCCGGCCTGCGCTGCTCCGGAATTGAAACCTCAGCGGGGCTGAGCCCGAGCGAGCCGCCCGGCCCGGGGCCCGCAGTGGCGCTGGGATCCTGGCCGGAGAGCCTCCGTCCTGCCTCTGCCCCGGCGGCTGCCATCGGACTGCGGGAGCAGCGCGGGGGCTCTGGGGCTGCGCTCCCGCTTGTCCCGAGCACATCAGCTGAACCTAGGCTCTTTTTCTCACTGTGAAATGGAGACACTCAGTACATTCTGAGGCAACGCGCTAGAGGGTAAGTTGTAAAACAGGTTAGTGTTTCTAAACCCGATAGCTCTTATTTTCTAGTAGAGACTGGCAGTATTTGATATTTACGGTAACTTTATTAATAGGGGTAATAAATTATGACTTTGGTAGTAATTTCCATCAATTTCGTCCCGCTCAGATAGGTCACGCTTTTCGTACCTAAACGGAAATGTCCCGCTGTAGGTGGGAGGAAAATGTTCTAATTATATCCCTTAGACCTAGTCGTTAAAGCTTGCCACAAGTATTCCCCCATGTTTGCCTCTGACACATTCTGCAGCGCTACCCCTCAGCTCTGGATTTTGTGGTGTCTTACATGCCACTGTGAGTGATTAATAAAGTATTGATTTGAAGCTTTGGGTGAATTTTTGCGCTGTCTTCACCAACTGTTAAAAGATTTGCGAGCAAACTGCTTTGTCTCCTGTAGAATGTAAAGGCCATAAAACTTGTCCTTTTAGTAGAAGAAGGGGGGAAAAATGTCACAGAAGTATGCTGATAAAAGCACTTGGATTATCTTCATGGTACTCTGGGCGTAATTCTTCTGCATATTCCACATTACCTTCAGTTTTTCCCAGTGAGTGAAGATTCATGGAGCTTAGTCAGACTGTTGAATGAGAACTTGTCAAGAAATAAATGGCTTTTTAAGTTTTGTAGTATTGCAATACTGCATTACTGCTTTCTAGCTTAGAAAACTGCTACTGTATTTAGAAAGACAAGACACACAGTAGGTACCCATGCTGATAGAACTTCAGCATGAAAAAATATCTGAGGTGAGCATACATTCTTCTCTTCACCCATTGAACTTCCATGAATTTACTGTGTCAAGAAGAGTAACTTGTATCTCAGCACAGATATTAGCTAAGCACATGCTTAAAAAAAAAAAGTTTTAGATCCAGACTGAAAACTGGCCATAAAATATTCTGGGTATAAAGCATGTCAAAAAGAAAACAAAAGTAAGCGTAAGGTGGAGTGAAAAGGAGAAATGTTTTAGTTGTTTCAGAATGTGTGTTTAATTCACCATCTGCTTTCCCAGGGTCTCAGATCATTTTATTAATGCCACATACAAGGCTTGTGCCTGTAGAGGTGGATGGTAATTAAATGTAGCCTGGAGACTGTGCTTTGCAGAAATCACATTTGTTCACAGCCATACCTCTCCCTGCATGTTTTTGAAGTGCTTTATGGGTGTTTACTTTGTCCCACTAGGGCAGCATCTTACATTCTCTGTAGATTTACTGAGGGGTATAGAAAGACATATAGAAAGATATAATGCATATCTCAATGTGTTCTCAGCGTGCAAAGGAAGACCAGAAACCAGAGTCACTGCCAAAGTACAGACTTAAATAGTACTGTTCTACTCACTAATAGTGTTTTCCTTGTATCTGTTATTCTGAACAGTTCCCAGTAAATTCTGTCTAAAAGTTAATAAACTGAAGAAGCTTTCTGGGAATTTTGGCTTGGGTTTGTTTTTCGGTTATGGAAATACCCATGGAGTATCTTGGTCTTAAATATAGTAAAGTATGCTTCCACTGCTCACTAAAATTAAATTTGTTTTGACATACTTAAATAAGATAAAATATGAATGTAACTGTGAGTGTGCCACCATCTAGTCTCCTAAGTAATATTAAAGCATGAAAATACTTACATGATTAAAGCCTGACAGCATTCTTTACAAATAAAGAGAAATCACCTGGAAAGCTTCAGAAAGCCCCCAAGGGCTGCTCTGCCCTAGTCAGGAGCAGTCTAAAGAGAAAGTCTAATGAGCTCTGAATGTTGTTTGTGTTTGCCTCAAATAAAAATTCTTTCGAGTCTTTAATTTTGTATGTTAAAATGGTGTATGATGGTTGTCTAAAAGACTTGGAGGTCTTAAAGGTTACTGCTATTAGAAAAAAGGAAAGTTTGTTTCTCAACAAAATAAGCAACATGCTTGCAGACTTTTGCAAGAAATGAGAATTCAATTTTTTCAGTTACAAGTTCTGCCTGAATCTCCTATTGCTTCAGCTTGTCTAGCCATTTGGTAGCTTTGAAATGAAAGTGTTTTATAGGTATTAATTAAAAAGCATTAGCATAATTTCAGGTGTTCTGCCTGGATGAGACCATAGTAATGATAGCTGCAAACCTCATAGTGGAAACACAGGGTGCTTATCAGTTATCAGTAGACCATTGATTAATGTTCCTGGGAATAAGTGTTGCAAGTATTACTCCATATACAAATTATCCAAAGTGACTCCACTGGTCTGTCAGTCTCATGACCCAGAAATCTATACGTACATATACGAGACAGGTGAAAAGAAAAAGTTGGCCAGTTTTTCCTGTCGATGCAGTGCTAAAGGCATTTCACATGCTGGGTGTGTGCTGGCCAGGGTGGAAGGAAATTAATTATATTTGTGAACTTTCAGTAAGAAAAAGGATTTGGAATAGTCTTCTGTATTGATACCTTATTTATATGGGTAGTCAGTGTCAATTTTTCCAGGAAAGGTCATGTGGAAATTAATTGTATTAAGCACTTCCTCATTTGTAATAAAAAAATCTTCTCTTATAGCAACTGATCCTTCCCTGCACAGTATTCCTTAAGTTTGCCAAATGCTTGAAAATGCAATTTCGTATTTCAGTGTAAATAGTATACAATGTCTACTTTTACTTCCTCCCTAATACTCTTAATGATAGTGGGATTTTACAGGCAATTTGAAGATACTTTCTGATACCAGTGATTTTTTTTTGATTTATAGGAGTTTGGTGCTTGAAAATCTGTAGAAGTCCTACCTAAACTTCCTTATACTATGGGAGTCGAAAAATCAGAGTACTGCTTTGTTGCATGCATTAATTTAAAGCAGGGGCAGTTTAAATTCTGTTTTGAAGTAGTTTTTGTCGATCATAAGGTATAGTATTGTTTCAGGAGTTTACTCTTCTGGTCTGACTGTGCTCTCTCACATCAGCCTAATCACTTTGTAATGCAGCAGTGTAAATAGTAACAGAGCACAGGTTACTTAGTGAAGAAAGGAGTCTTTATGGTTCAAAGTTGGAAGAGTGGGATGGGGACTCCTTTTCTTTTAACTGTCCTTTAACTGTCTTTTCTGGGGCGTGAAAGTTTCATCCTTAGGGCATTCCCAGACTTCTGCAGGTAATGAACAAGTTCTGTCCATTACATTTGGCATGGAAAGCACCTTCCTTTCTGTCAGCAAACAACACAGCTGTTGCCTTGGAGAGCAAAATCAACCTTTGCCAGCCCAAGGCCTGGATACCTCTGTGCCCAGGCTAAAGCTCATTATCTCCAGAGTCAGCAGGTCTGGCAGCACTTCCTAGCTCTAGAAAAGAGCATTTCAGGTACATTACCAAATGTAGTTTAAGAGTTTCTCTGCCTTAGAAACTTCACGCTAGCAAAACTATGAATTACCATGTAATGATCCAGTTTAATTGCTGTTGTTCCTGGATCTGAAAGCTGGATGTTCTGGGAACAAATAAGGTACAGAGAGCCGTCTAGAAAAGTGTTTAATGAATTAAATGACTAACATTTTTTAAAAAGGATAAATTCTCAAGGCTGTAGTGTACACAAGGTATTATAAGTTAATATTTTGATATTGTTGTACTTGCATTTGACTCAGTTTTGTTCAGCACGGAGGAAAAATGGCAACTATTATCAATAAGAAAAACTGATGTGGTTTTTAGGAGATCTTAGGTTTTATTTCACTGGAAATCTGTTTCATAACAAAGAAAGGCTAGCAGCTTGATTTGAATTTTGGGATATATCCTAAAATATAGGATATATCCTATAGTTTGGGGAAATAATATAAAATATAGTTTGGAGGTTAAAATCCATCCTTTTCCAGCCTAAGCATTTTTTAAATTCCCCAGGAGAGGAAGGTGGAAAACTGCTACAGTAAGCTCACAGATTGTCTGCTCTACCTCACAGGGGAAAAGACCTGTCATTGCCATTCAAAGTACACCTTTCTGTAGCTGATTTTGTCCTAGCACTGTGCTGTCCAAAAAGATTAAATCTATACTCTGCTCTTGGAGGATAAAGTAACTTCCACAAGAAACAAGTCTGATTTCTAGTACAGGAGTTACAGTATACAGAGAAATTAGTTTAAACTATGCTGGAGTAATAAGGCCTTGGTTAATTATCTGAGTAACAGGAGTGTAGATTTTAATTTGGAAAACTGCCTTGCCCCGCACCTAGAATATGTGTGGAGAAAGGAGAACTTTGCTCACAGATAAGATGAAATGGATAAGAGTAGTAGGAGGAATCTTATCTCAGATAAAATATGAACAAAGTTTAAAATCTGTCTCTTAATCACCTTAAGTTGGCTCTTTATGCCTGAATTTCCCAATTTAAAAAGATAGTTGCACTTCTTTTTTTTTGTGAACCACTTCATCATATGCAGATAAAAAGCTCCATATAGGACTGCAGTGTATCACTGAATAAGGGGGTTTTTGTGTCAGACTAGGTTGACTGATTGCAGTGGCTCATTCGTTAAACTGACTCTGGTACAGAAGTTTTGTTTCTGTAAACTGAATATACATACCTGCTAGGTCTGTAGAAACAATTCAAATGGCCAAAGAGACACTGCTTGCATAGCACTTAAATCTACAAAGTGCTCAACTAGTGAGATTATACATAGTCAGATCCTGGCTTCTTTTTAAGAACAGAATTGTAAATAGTATGGGATTTTTTTTTCCCAGGAACAGCCCAAGAGAAGAGTCACACACTTCTTTGCAATTAATGGGACAGGTGAATTTGAGCAAAGCTGTTACATTTTTCTTTTTGCAACTTCCTGAATTCCTGTGTGACATTGCTAAAGGGACGTATGTTTCTCTTCCTTTCCTTAGTCTCACTAAATATACCCCGGTGGCTTTGAGTAATGTGAATTTTTCAGTCCTAGGCTGGCCTGTGGATTCTAATATCCTGCATACCAACATTCCTACCCCATTGACCCAATTTAGTTCCTGTGATTTTTCATGAAATGTGGCCCGTGGACTGATCATCCTCTGCAGCAGTTGTTAAATGAGTTATGTTAGTTTAACATTGGAAACAAGCTGGGTTTCTTCTCCAGAGAGAATAGTTCTACTGATGGCAGGCTAAAAAAAAAAAAAATCTGTCACACAGAGCATCTTTCTAAGCATTGATTCCTCTGCATCCATTCTCAGTCACTGAGGGAGCTGGTGCCTTTGTGGGATTCAACTGGTTGTGTCTGGAGTATGGCTGGAGCAGCTGCTGAGAGCATGCTTGGTGTTTAGCTTGTATTGCTGTTGTGTTTAGGAGCCTCACTTATAAAGCCTGTTATGTGTTATGTATGGTGGTAGATAATGTATAGGGACAATACATTGGGGTGGAAAACAGGAGTGGAAGTGAGCAGCACTCTCTGGGTGCAGTTCCAGACAGCTTTGCTCTAGAGTTGTTTCTGTGGAAGGTGAGCACTGCTGGCTGGGTCAGTACAACTCCGAACTGTCAGCCTGTGCTTTGGGGCTCTGTACCTTAATGGTGTTTTGGAAATGTTCTTCAGATACTTCTCATACCCCTGCATATCCCAACAAGATAAAAAGTCATATATTTATACAACAGAATGAAAGTTCTGCTTTGATTATTCTAACTATATCTAACCAAAATATGGTAACTTTGTTTTTCTTTAGATAGATCCTCCTCTGTTTTTTGTTTGGATAGCTGGAAAAAATAGCTCATAGTGTGTTACCATGGGCAGTATTGCTAGTTGTTTATCACATAGATGGCGTAAAGCACATTTCTGTGATTTTGCATGTGTTCAAAATATATTTCCCATAAATGATAGTTGAGGCCTTGTGTGATTAGTATTTCTGTTGATGCAATCTAAAGGTGTCATAAAATAAATATGAAATAAAACCACCTGTATGTCCTCCTCCTATCCATGTACATTTTGTAAAAATGAGTTGTGGTATTAAAATTCTGATAAAGGCAAGAAAATTTTCAGTTTTCTGAGTTCACGGTCAAGGTAATCCTATTCATTCTGCTGCCTCCAACATCTGCAGTAGTGATTCAGATAAACAGTTCTCAGTTCTTAGAATTTGTCTCTTGACTGGATTTCCATCCCTAATACATTTTAAATGACATAATGGTATTACAGTGAATTCATTAGGTAAACACTGCAAGAGACTTCTGCCTATACTGCTGTATAAAAGATTATCAAATCTGGGCTTGTTTTGCATGCCTGGCTCCATAACCCTCAGACTGCTCATACTGCCTTGCACCTGGTGATAATCGCTGTTTGTCAAAGAAATGTCATTTATAGAAAACTAACCACAGTAGGATTCTAAGAAAAAATATTGTATCCACTAAAAAAATCAGGGGAGACAAAGGTTTCCTAGTCTTAAGAATTTGTGTGTGTTGTTAAGACCTTTTTTTGAGGCTCTCTAATTCTGTGTACAAACACTAGCAATCTGTTTGGGGGTACCAGCACTTCTTTATTTCATACCTATGAGTTCACCCTGCTTTGGAGGAGTATTGTAAAAGCAGGCTTTAGTATGCCGTCCAGCACTCTTCAGGGGAAGGTGACTTTTGTTCCTACAATCTGTTCCTACAATCATGTCCCTCGTTGTCCCTGCCAGCTAGCCTGGAAGAGGGAAAGGAGAGCAAGAGCTCTGTTTGAGTACTAGTAATTTGTAGATAGCTTTTGAGCTGTGGAATTATTATCCTTATCTCATGTGTAGCTTCTTACTCAATTTAAAGTCCTGTTGGCAGTTCTAAAATGTTACCAGCAGTGCTGTATATTTGAATTTCATTTACAGCACATCAGCTGCTTGGTATAAGTATTTGGACTTATATTTTATTTGTGGTCCTGCAGCTAAGTCGATTTAAATCTATATTGTGAATTGCTCGATACAGAAAATGCTAAATAAATGCTAACATATACACTGCAAGGAAAATATGGAATTGAGCTGTTGTCCTCCAAGAAACCTTGATTTTGTACAGCATTTATTCCACACAAAATCTATTTGAATGTCTTAGAAGTAAATAATATGGAAGGACTAGAGAAGCATCTTCAGTAGACATAGCAAGGACAAAGAGGATTCCTCTTTTTACGGAAATCAGTCATATGAAAGAGATTACAGAAAGTGGGGGGAGTGTTTGAACTATGCTGACAGGATGCAGTGTCCTTTCCTACATATCGTAAGATAAGCAAAAAAAAGATAATGGGGACAAAACAAAACCAGTGATTTTGATTAGAACCAAATCTGTAACCAGTATTTCTGGTCGGAAATAAATTTTGTTCATGCCTGGGAGGAAGGGAGGGTCTTGAAACACTTAAAAGTAATCCATGTTTTTTCCCTGCTGCAGCGCACTGCCGTGTAGCCCTTGCTGAGCACCATGAGCTTGCTGCACAGTGACAGCAGCTGTGCAGCTGGGGACAGCGGCTGCTGTGCAGCCATGGCCAGCGCCTGCAGCGCCGCAGCCAAGGAGGAGAGCTCCAGCGTCGGCAGCGGCAACCAGCCCGGCTCGTTCACGGAGGAAACGCAGGGATACGACGTGGAGTTCGATCCGCCCCTGGAAAGTAAATACGAGTGTCCCATCTGTTTGATGGCTCTCCGGGAGGCGGTGCAGACACCGTGCGGCCACCGTTTCTGCAAAGGCTGCATTGTCAAATCAATAAGGTAAAAAGGAGAACTCGTGGAAGCGGCTTTTAAGAAGAAATTCGTGTACTAGAACAGTTTAAGGTCAATCTAAACTGAATAGAGCTGCCCAAGGTGCATTACCACTGAGTGCTAATAGAATTCTGGAAATGTATTATTCATTAAATGTGCTGTATATGGCCAGAATGTCACAAGTTTGGAAGTTTAATGAGCTTTAGATAGTTTGCCATTTTTACAAACTTATCCAGCTTATGAATCTAAAAAATTTATTAAACTTCAAATAATAATTAAAAAAGAAAGGTAGACAATTCCCCCAAATAAATTCTGTTTTCAGGTCGGGATTATAAAATTTCCTGTCTTTTGCCTATGATTGTTTCTCTTGATAACTACAGGAAACTACAGACAACCTGATTTCTTGGTGCAGATAAGGCAATTCGTGCTTTCGGTTCTTCACTTGAAATTAGCTGCTTCCTTCTGAGCTGAAAGAGAGAACGTGATGAGGGAATAGTTTTGAGGAAAGCATTGGAAGAGGAAACCAGGTGGCATGTGAGGGACTGGGAATAAGATACAAAGGCAGGAGCAGACTGGGCTTATAAAAATGGATGATTGAAAGAGCAAGAAAGGGCAGAGAGTACCTTGTAGAGAGCACTTGCCTTAAACCTGGAATGAAGTCATCAGTGTCCTACACATGTGAGTGAGTACTGGATTATATTGATAGATACTATGCTGTAAGATTTTTCCTTTTCAGCATAAGCCAAATTTTTTTCTTAGCAATTGCTCACTTAGCTTAAATGTCACTTTGGTAGGAATTTATATATTCAGTTCTGTGTGAATGTATGTAGAATTAGCTCATTTTCAACCTCACTTCGCACACTTTTATGTAAAGATCGTTAAACTGTCTTCAGTGTTACTGTATTTTTCCCTGGCATTTATTTTATACCATGCAGAATGGACAATGCTTGCTTGATTGGTTTTTCATACCACTTGTCCATAGTTGTATTCCATTTCTTTTTCTTCCCTCTCCATCATTTGTCGCTCACTAAATGAATAGGATGCCAGCAATTATGTTCTCTGAATACAGTGTTTTTGTGGGCATCTCTGTAGTTTCTGCTAAATAAATTCTCAGAAAGAATTTCTCCATGGAAAGGACCATGACCAGAAGCTTCTGCTTCTTTTATACCCTTCCTGTATTTTACTTAATTTCTATGAATAGTGATGACTGTTTCAGTGAATACTAAACAAGGTAGAAAGCATTTTTTTCTCTTGAGACTGTAGCTCATCAGTGTAATATTTCAGATGTTTCACTGCTAGTGAGAGTTTTCCCTCATTGCCCACTGAACTCTGTCTTTGGAGGACAGTTTGTGGAAATGCTTGTGAAGTGCCAGACCACTCTGAATCCCTGAAGGGCTGAACTTAATGGTATCTTAAGGGCATGCTTAATTGGTATCCATAGATCAAGCTATTGATTTGGATTATGTAGTGCCTACAGTATGGTATCAATCTGCAGTATGTACTGTCTACAGTACCAGATTGAGTGAGAAGCTTCTACAGAACTAAAATGAAAATGGAAAGTGATATTTTACATTCTCTAAGTACTGGTTTTTTTCCAGTGATGTCACAGCCTTCATTTGATCAGGAAAAATTGCTTCTCTTTATTCTTCATTTCTTCTTTGTCTTAACTCAAATGAATACAGAAATTAAGAATTTTAAATGATGAAGGATGGACAAGCATTTTTTGCTTCTTGTGGCTTACATAAAAATTGTAGTTGTTTATGTTGAAGAAGTTGTGGCTGCAACTAGGAAAAAAAATTTAAAAATCTTTTAAAAACTGGACTCTTCGATCTTACAGTGTGAAGGACATGATTAGATAAGATTTGATCACGGTAAATGTTTGCCTCCCAGAAAGTCTTGGCAGCTTTTTAAATAAAGCTGTCTGAAGTGCTTTGAAGTGCTATAAATCATGGAAGAGGAGACGCTTACCTACCTAAGTAACTACAAATGAGTTTACAAATGTTACTTGTCAACAAAATACATTACTGGAAATTTTAGAAGAACTAACTTCGGGTGCAGTAGCTAATTCAATTTCACTCCAGTCTTCTTCTGTATCTTAGGGCAAAGCTAACTTAGGGTTTGCAGTAGAGCTTGCCAAATATCAGAACCTCTGTTTATTGGAAAAACAGAGTTGTGAGGTAACAAGGGACAGCAGGGAAATCTTTGGATGCTGGCAGTTCATCCAGCAGCTGGCATGGCTGCAGTTAAAGTCTCTGCCAACTGTCTCATCTTCTCGGCTAAACCGCTGTCTTGTCAAAATCACAGAGCAGGCTTTTCTTTCAAAGTTATTCTGGCTTTACTTGTGATACCTGTATTTTAATCTCAAGGGAAATTACAGAAATATTCATTGTACTTTGTAGCAGATGGCCACTGTTTCACAGGTACTGCTATGAGTGGCAGAGTGCAATGTGATAAATAATTCCAACATAGGAAAGTGTTCATTTTAATATGAGTTAGAAGGTGCATAACTCAGTTCTGTCACAGGAAATGTATACCAACATATTTGTTTCTAGATGAATTTTAGAAGTGTTTTAAACACAATCTTGATCCTTGTAAATAGTATTTGAAGCCTGTTTAATGTCCTACAACAAGTTATTGCTTTTTCCTTACTACACTTTCCTACTTTGGGAAATTGCATTTCATTCTTATTTTGCCCTTTATCTGTTAGTTATTTCAACTGGGGATTTGGTGATCATTATTTCAAATTGATCTGTTGCTGGCTGCTCATATTCATGATTACCTTTTCTTTGTAGAAATAAAGCTGCTGTCTTATCAGCAGGCCTGTTGAGCTGTCTTTATACTCCACTAAACAGGGTGTTTGTAACCAAGTTATACCTGTGAAAACTGATTTCCTGTAGGTTGTGAAGTGAGGGAACATTTCTGGCTTGTGACAAAGATCACACTGGTCATAGCTCAGGGAGCTCTGAAACAAGGCAAGCTAGGTGTTTTCTTTCTTCCATTTGTTTAGGAGTGTGATTCTCAGGCATGTGGTGAGCTTGCTCTGCAAGCAAAACTTATGAAAGGAAGTTCATTGCTTCTTTTTGAAGTGGCAACTTTACCTCCACTTCCTCTAGCAGCATTGCTGATGGAGTTGCTGAGCAATTATTTCCTTTTCCAACAAAGAACATAAATTCCTTCCTGGTCTCCACAGCCCACTAGGTTCTACTTCCCCTCATGCTTGCAGGCAGTGACAATGATCTGGCCTTTGATCCTTGCACCACAAATGCTCTCTGACATTTTTCCACCCCATGTATTTTTCCATTTTATTGCTGTTTCCATTAGCACTTAAGAGCTTTGATCCCTCATGCCTCTTTAACTGCGTTATTTAATTGTGAATCAATACGTTGGCCTACTGCTTTCAGAATGATCTGATACTGGAAAATTTGGATACTGGAGGTGATCCCCTTTTTTACTCCATTTCCAAAGATTTTTGTATATATGTGCAGGTAGACAGAACTGATGAACTGGAACAGGCTGTTAGTTACCTTGTGCAGGTTGCATGCATCCATGTTCCATCAGATTCCAAACCATCACCAGTTAGCATTGACTTCCAGTCTGCTGTTAAAATGGCTTCAGATGCAACACCCAGTTCCAAATCCAGTGTAATTTTCATACTTACTAATAATTTTTGTGTCAGGAGATTTTCACTCTGTTTGCTGTATAATGAAATTGAAGGATGACCAACTGATCAAATTCTGTATAGCAAAACCAGCAAACTGAGCAGTGTGTGTAATGCCAAACAGATGAAGTCAATCTGGAAAAAAAAGACAATTTGACTTTTTTTATTAGCTGTGATCACCTTGGCTGTTTATGAAATGAGGAAGAAATGAGAGGAGGTCTAAGAAAGTTTAAGTAATTGTTTTTAAGTAGTATGTGAAATATTATTTGATGTTCAAGCTATGTGAAGTACTTACAGACTGTTACTTCTTAGTATCTTTACATATTCCTCAAGTTTGTTTCCAGAGTACTTAACATGGCATTTGTACAAATAAAGTGTGTTTAAGTTTGAAAAGTGCTGCAACCTCAGTCATGCTACCTCCAGTGAAACTGTGTGGTTTCAATTTTTCTGAAATGCATTTCATATTTTCTGGGCATTGTCACATAAATATCATTGTTTCCAAAGATCATCTTACTGTGTTATTATTTGGCCACTAATGTCTTGCTGGTGTAAAAATATTTTAAATTAATTCTTGGAAATCTGTTGGTAATATTGAAATATCTTTCCTTGCTTTTCTGCATTGTAGAGATGCAGGTCACAAATGTCCTGTAGACAACGAAATTCTGCTTGAAAATCAACTTTTTCCTGACAACTTTGCTAAACGAGAAATCCTTTCATTAATGGTCAAGTGCCCCAACAAGGGCTGCAGCATGAAGATGGAGCTCAGGCACTTAGAGGTGAGAAGTAGTTTTGAAAACACAGAACCTTGTTTTCATGGATGAGTAAAAATTTGAAATAACTTAGATAGATGGTCACGCCTGGTGACACACCTGGTACTCATTTATGCTGACTCAGTGCATTTTTCTTTCAAGACTATAGCTACACATATTGTTTTTTAATGAGTATTTAATTGTAGTTAGGTGATTCTCAAGTGAACATCACAGTGCATGACAATTGTACTGATGCAGCTTTCTGGTGAGGGTCATTTATGTTTGTCTTTTGATTAGCTATGTCTGTGCTTCACACAAGTTTCTTAAAGTCAGTTTAGTAGTCTCTCAAAGCAGCTACATGTATTAATTGAAATAATTGTTTTGGAAAATAATATATGCAGTTAAACGGAAAAATATAAAACAAATTTTTTACTGAGAGCTTTCTTAAAGCTCTGAATACATGAAACCATGGCCTTAGTAATGGGACAGTAACAGGCTGTTGGTAGAGTCAGCATAAGTTTATAAGAATTTCCTTGCATGAAGGAAAGGTTGTGATTCGTTTGTCTTGCACTGTGCTTTCTCTTGAAAATGGGTGAGATGATAGTTCTTGTTTGAAGTATCAAATCCCTCTTCTGCCCTTCTGCAGGACCACCAGCTGCAGTGTGACTTTTCCACTGTGGAATGCCCACAGTGCCAAGGAACCTTCCCCAAAAACCATCTGAAGGAGCACATGACCCAAGAGTGTCCGAGGCGTCAAGTGTGTTGCCCAAACTGTGCCACATCTATGGCCTACGAAGATAAAGAGGTAGCAGGAGTCTCAGTTTGTCAACCTGAATTCACATGGGTTTGCGTGGAAAGGGAAGAGCAGTTAAAGAAAAGATACAACTGAAAGGTTTTGGTCTAGAAGAACTCTTTGTGCTGCTGTGCTGCTGAGAAGCTACAAACTCAGGACATGAGCCTGGAACAGACAAAAGCTGTGGAGAGATTGTCCTTACATACAAACTTAGTGGGAACCATGTGGTGTGAGGAGACTTTTGGACTTTAAGAACCAATGATTTCTGATCTTACCATCAGACAGGCCAGTATCTACTGCCCATAGAATACAAAAAGCAGTATTTACATTTACAGGTTTTATGCCTGGCAGAGAGGATGTATCAGGAGATAAATCTTTTGGGGATATCTGCTACCACACAAGACCAAGATAATTTCTGAATTCTTTTCCTGTCTCTGCATTTTTCACTTGGGTGATAGTGAGGAAAATACTTTGCTTCTGCTCTTACCATTTCTCTATCTCTATATGGATGTGTTTTATCTCAAGGCCTATGAAATGTCCTTGGATATTAATATTGTGAATAGTCAATCAAAGATATTTCAGAGAGTCCAACAATACAAATATTTTAAAAAACACTTTTGTATAGTTAAGTGCAATGGAACGTGAATTTTAGAAACTTATGATTAAAATCAGATTTCTTTGGAGCATAAGAGCTTTAGGAAATAAAATATCTATAACTTTATGAATCTCTTGTATAAGTCCAGGAAAAAATAGAAAACATACTGTTCAGGGTAAAGGGATTGTCTTTGTTTCACAGTTGCATACAGCTAAATGCAAAATGAGAAATATCAATAAAAATCTAATGTCTAATCAAGGGTGATTAGCCCTCTCCTAAATTGGGTAACTTTACTGATGCTTTCTCCCCTTTCTCTTTTGTTTGATCAGCTTCATGACCAAACATGCCCACTTGCCAATGTATATTGCGAATATTGCAACACAGTGCTCATCAGAGAGCAGGTAAGAGAGACTCCCTTTTTCTCTGCTTATTCCAAGTCAGATGTTTTGTATTTACATCACTTCTTTAATCTGAAATTAAGCTCGGAAATACAGTTTGTCTACTAGCTGCTAAATCACTACCTGCCTCTCTCTGAAAATGTCCAGTGCAGATATGATACTCCCATAAATGCTGCTCCAGCTTGCAGTTGCAATCTGGCAAACCTCTGTAGGATTTTGGCTGCCCATCACATTGTTCAGCTATACTGCTTCTTGACAGAGGCCATGCTGCAAATTTAATCTTGAATGGAGTTGAAAAAATACCAACAGCTGTCAGTTGTTATGGCTGACATTTCAAGAGAAGGCTTTGATTTGGGCAGAGAGGGAGAGTTTTTGTACTTGGAAAGCCACTGTAGAAAGTAGCTATAAGTAAATTCACTATCAAACTGGGATATTGGCTGGAATTTTGCTTGTCCATTACTGTTGTAATAGCCATTATTATGTCTTCTGTTCAATAATTACATGTGCAGTCATTGGCAGGAAAATGATAAATATTGACTTGTTTAATTTGAGATGGCAAATGTATTGATGGCCTGGGTTAAAATAAAAAATTATCTTGTAAAATTGCACAAATACTCTGGAAAACAGGACTGAGCTTAATAATGACAAAGGAAAAAGTCTGTTGTTAGGTAGAATGATGAACTACAGAAGTGAGGAACAGAGAATGATAGCTGATCTTTATTAGCCTTGTGCTTTGTTGTGATATTTAAACAAGGCAAACACCTGGGGTTATACAAACAGGGATTCTGCCTGTGAAACACTGAATTATCCTTTGCTCTGTGTACTGCTCATAAGGCATCAGCTCAAGTTGTTGTGCTTTTGAGGGAGAGTGGATAGGGAAGATCCAGAGCAGTAAGATGACTGATCTGGAAAATATGGACCACAAGAAAATTGGAGTAACTTGAACTTTTTGAGGAAGATGATAATAAAGAGAAACACAATAAGTATGTGCAAGTAGTCCTTCAGAAGGGAAGGAATTGAACATGATCTGGCTGGGGGATAAGCTAGAAACAAAAGGTATTTGGTCTACAAGGAAACCTGAATGCTTTCTGGGGCCTAATGTAAAAACAAAGTCAATGAATTGTTGCTGTACACACAAGTGAGAAATATAATTTTTATCATCAGCTGATGTTTTTGTTCAAAACCTGTGTATTCCCTTAAAAAACTACATAGGTATAAACTGATCTGACTTCAGGTACCTGTTCAAAATCCATCCAGCTGTATTCTTTTTGGATAAGAGAATAAATACTCTTGATGGAGAAGTAATATCAAATCTGATTTGTTTTAGATGCCTAACCATTATGACAACGATTGTCCTACTGCCCCAGTGCCATGTTTTTACAGTGCCTTCGGGTGTCCTGAAAAGGTAGGCCTTTTATCAGTACCTTCTGAATTGCAGACCTTCTGCATGATTTGTCTGTTGCTTTTGTAATGTGTTTTCCTACTCCTGTCTCATTCACCAGCCCAAAATCCTCAGTGATTTGTGGTTGTGGATTTTTTATTTTGAGGTATCTTAATTCTGAAACAGTGCATGTTGATACACTGCATTTCAAAATTGCTTTTTCAAATTTAAAAAGTTCTGTGAACAATTTGCTTGATGACCTTGTATGGATGCTAAATCTGAACCAGAGTGCCTGTAGCTATTACAAGCTACACAGAGCTCGATCCTGCCTGAGAGCTAGCCTGAGAAATTCATAGGAGGATTTCAAAACAATCCTCAGAGACAGAAAACAACTGCCAGGTGCTGTTTGTATGTCCTCTTGTTTTCCTTGAAGGAGGAAGTCAGGAGGTGGTGTGCACCACTGACCAATGATGGTGATGTAGCAGTTAACTAACCAATAAGAGTTTCCTTTCTGTACTTTCCACGTATCTGTCTATAAAACAGGCCTGAAGCAATAAACTGGGAGATTCTCCTGTTCTGACTCCCTTGAGAGTCTATGTCGTTCTTTTCGCCGTTCCTAATTAGAACGACAACCTTGCTTTTATTATTTCGTGTTTTCTCAGTTTTCATGTCAATAAAATAGCTTCTAACATTTCTTCCAAAGTTGGGGCCAAATATGCTTATGACTCCTATAGTTCCATGAAGAAAATAAATTTTATTAAATTCTAAAATTATTAATCTAGATACTCTTATTTCTAGTTTTTTAAGACCTCTTGGTTAAAATGTGTCTTTCCCTTTCATTTCCACATCAGTTTTCATACACCGTTTGGTACTATGGAGCATTTTAGCAAATCAATGAAAGGAGTACAGTGCTGATTTAGAACACAGAAAAATTCTGAATATATTTATCACTAACAGTCTTTCACCATCTCTTTGTTTTGAGTTGAAGAGTCTTACTGAAATTGTACACCATAATTAATGATGGTTTCATAGGAAAATTATCACTCCTACAAAACCTGAAATTTTTTATCATGAATGCTCATTAACAAGAAGGTGAATACACAGTGCTTGCCTTTGGAATATTTGACAAGAATGCCTTCAGAGTAAAATACTCCATTTTTCTTCATATCTTGCTTTTACTTTCAGGTGCACAGTTTGAAATATACTGTTCCTATTTCTCAATGTATGTACTACTGAAATACTTCATGTCTTTACTCAAAATTACCTCCATTTGAAGTGTGGGTCTTAGCCTTTAATAAGAAGTTGTTCTCAGTCTTTTCTGGAGAATTTAAATTTTGTTGTTTTCCTGGAGATGCTGCAGCTTCTGTAAAAATATATCAAAGGTTCCCTTATTAAACATTACATAGAATTAATGAAACTATACCATATGCTATTACTTAAGATAAATATTCTAACAAGAATATGTGAAATCCCAAAGTCCCAAGCCAACAAAAACAATAATGCACTTATCTGATTGATATTGCAGTCATTTATGTCAGTTCTATCTTAAGTTCCCAGGTTAACAATTCTCTGCTGAAATCACCTCATATCTACACTTTTGTTGAACCCTGGCTGTATCAACATTAGGGCAAAGAATAAAGATATTTTCCAACCTAAATGATTCTGCAATTTACCCACTGGTATTTGAACTTCTTTTTTCATTTTTCCTAACAGTGATCTTAAATTTGGAGCTCTCCATTGGTAAAGTGCTATTTTGTCCTTGATTCACACTGCAGTTTTTCTGACATGACAAAAGCAACTACTTGTTTGATTTTCTTCAGAGCCACATTTAAAATGTGATTGCAGATGTTTGATGTGTTCCTAATGCCATATCTCTTAAATCCTAGATGCAAAGGAATGAACTGGCACGACATATGCAGGAGTTCACTCAGGTTCACATGAGGATGATGGCTCAGAGTTTTCAGAATATCAGTGTTACTGCTGCAAATCCTGTACCCTTCATCAATGGCCTACCCTTTGAGCCTGCCCTCTTCTCACACGTGTCACATGCCGCATATGACTGCAATCCAGAAGTTGAAAACTTCAAAGAAACTATTCAGCAGTTGGAAGGTCGTCTGGTAAGACAAGATCACCAAATCAGGGAACTCATTGCTAAAATGGAGACTCAGAACACTCACGTGGCAGAACTCAAACGTACTATCCGAAATTTGGAGGGAAAGATTACTGAAATGGAGGCACAGCAATGTAATGGTATTTATATCTGGAAGATTGAGAACTTCAGTGGACTGCAGAAAGCCCAGGAAGAAGAGAGACCTGTAGTGATGCACAGTCCTGGCTTCTATACAGGGAAGCCTGGCTACAAGCTGTGCTTGCGCCTGCATATCCAGTTACCAAACGCTCAGCGCTGCGCTAATTTTATCTCTCTGTTTGTCCACACTATGCAAGGGGAATATGACAGCCACCTGCCCTGGCCGTTCCAAGGCACCATACGACTTTCTATTTTGGATCAATCAGAAGGCCCAGAAAGGCAGAACCATGAAGAGGTGATGGAAGCCAAGCCAGAGCTACTGGCCTTCCAGAGACCGACAATTCACCGCAATCCTAAAGGTTTTGGTTATGTGACTTTCATGCACCTGCAGAACTTGAAACAGAGAACCTTCATCAAGGATGACACGCTCCTGGTGCGCTGCGAGGTTCTAACGCGCCTGGACTTGAACAGTGTCCGCAGAGAAGGGTTCCAGGCCCGCAGTACTGATGGAGCCATGTAGCCGGCAAGTCTTAACCAGGGCAATGGAGCCTTACTCATGTTTTTCCACACAGATCACACAAGTGCTTCATTGTCCACAAAGGCTGCATTTGTAAAAGATCATAGTTGCCAACACAGTTGATCTTCATGTGAGTGGGACTTTGTTGTTGCTGGCGTATTTTTTTTCTATATGAGGTCATATGTTTAAATATTTGGTAAGGTTCTCTCTTAAAATAATAAGCTACTTCTGTAGCAAGCTAACTAAAAGAAGTGTTAATCAAAACTTCGCTGCCTACAGGAAAATCCTATTGCAGAACCTGTGCATCTCAGATCGCTAAAACTTCAGTTGTATCGAATAGACCTGTAAGTCTTTTCACCTCACTGCCTTGGAATAGATGCTGTTGCAAGGAAGGAGCAAAATTAATAAAAATGAGGGATTTTTTTCATTTATTTTTTCACAGAGCTTGGGAAAGCTGAAAGATTTTCTATATTGACTTATCTAGAATTTTGCATTGGCTATGTGTCTCTTGAAGTTTGAAGTTAGGGTTAAGACTTTGTTCATGTCTCCAAGGGTTCAGGTATGCTTTGACCCTTTCCTCCTTCAGGAAGTTGCATGTTGATGTAGAGTTGATGCAGAGTTGATGTTGGTATTTTCAAAAGATATAAGGTAGTGTTGTGGAGAAGGCTAAATGACTCTGAGCTGAGTTCACTGAAGAAATACTTGAAATGTGGTCTGAAGGTGCCTCCCTAATTCTCTTTATCAAATCTTTCTCTAAGAGTGTGGTCTAGGCCCAGAATGTCAGCCACAATCAGCAAGAGATACAGAAGTTTAGCATTTGAATGAAATCCCTTTGTGCTGGTGGGATCTCCTAGTGCTGGACATGTTTCAGGTTAAGAGTGCACACATGAGCAAAAGGATATACTAAACAGAGAGGGTGATGCAGAATTTGTTTTACTGCTGTTGAAACCCGAATTTGTACCAAATCTGAACTTGCGACCTGCATCTCTTCAGGTGATCTCTTGGTGTTGTGGGTGAGGTACCCAAGTCATCCCCTGTGAATTCTCTGTGGGCAGCTGGCCATATCAGCATCCAACTGCTGTGGGTATTTCCTGTCCCTTTAGACAATAGGAGCTGGGCCAGCTCAGCAGTTTGGATGGTAAGGAAAGCCTATTAATTCAGCAGCATGAGGTAAAATTGTAATCCTATTTGCATTTAGGAAGAAAATCTGGCTTCCATAATTACTCATTTATCAAACACTAGATTCACTGTGTCAAAGATTCATGAGGTTCTTAATGCTGTGTGTATTATTGTTTTCTGTACTGACTGATTGTATGCCATGTAAATATTAGTTTTGACCAGTCCAAGCTGAATGGTTCAAGTTCACTGGTGCTAAAAATTTTAACTTTCATGGTGCTGATAAAATTCTGAATCTCATCCTTAAAAGGAGGGAAGAAAAAAGTTTTGTTCACCCCATAACCTAAGTACAAGTTCAGATACTGAAGAAAAAACTAAACAATGCGTGAGCTTCTGTGTCTTCTTTATCCAAGCTCGTGAAACAACCTAAAGACTGGAGACAGTGCAGCTTAAGAGATACTGAAGAGTGTTCCAACTGTTTGGCCTCATCAAAGCAATACCAGTGGGGAAAGGGCACGTTGCTTAATATAAACAAGACTAAAGAAAGTCTACTGTATTTTAGTGGTTTGGGAAGATACTCTGCCTGCCTGCATGAGAGGTGAAAGTTCCAGGACGCAGCTTACCACTTTGTTCATCGTATCCAGATGAGTAAAATTTCTTCTGCCAGTAGAATCTATTAGATGGAAGAGGGATTGTGCTCAGTGGAGTATTGTCACTACTGAAATATGAACTTCCTGGCTAATGGTAAATGCAGTTAGTTGTTGATGACTTCAGTGTATTCTCTGTCACTAGGGGACAGGTGAGCATATGTTACTCAAAATAGGGAAAAATCTCAACTTTAAAACCAAAGTAGATTTTATAATGAATATCCTCATCCTATCAACTGAATTGTTCTGGAGTGTCTTCAGCTGGAGTATTTCCAGTAAAGCCATTCTTACTCAAGAGCTGTCAATGCTCATGGCAGTGCACAGAGCCACTCTGCACAGAAGGCACTGTACACGAGTTCTCCATTTTTAGGCTGTTATCTATCCATGTTTTTTCAAGATACTCAAAAACTGCCATTCTCTTTTGCTCCTCTTCGATTTTGGGGGGCAGGAGGGGGAGGCAGTTCCAAAAAACACTTGTCATATGAGAGCTTCTTCCTGCTCCAGGTCCTTCCTCAACCCTAGCAATAAGAAAAATGTCCTTATTCTCTGTTCAAATAATTTATACCCAAGAGCCAATAAATGCATTAACACTTTTTTTTTTGCTTTTGAAGATTTGCATTCTGAATGAAATTTTTGCTTTGAGCCTTATCTGCTAGATCTGATGTACTTTTGCCTCTGAGGAGGAAACTCCCTGTGGTGGCAGGGTTTAAACGATTCAGGTTAAAATTGTACAATAGCACAAGCCAATAGGGAATAGAAGGCTACTGCATGTATAATTCTGTATTGGTCACAGTAATATGGATGCTTTATTCACTGCTGCTATTCTATTGGTTTTGTATTTTTATATTACCAACTAGAACTCTGAGTGATGTCAAATTACTGTAACGTCAGAGTATTCCATGAGACTGTCAGAGCTAATATGCTAAGTATCAGTTAAATCCATAAAAAGATTGTAAATGTTAACGAAATACTTATTCATGTACTTATTCCATTTTCCTCTTTCCCCTTTCTTCACATCTCTTCTTTTGAGAACTTTTTTTACCATGGTGGATTGAGGTATAATTGCTAGAACTATTTAAATGGAAGAAAGGTCTGCAGCATTGAGTTGTCTCTAAATCACAGAAATACTTTAATTGTCTCCTGTGTAACTTGTTCAGCAATGGGGTTTCGTTCTGTAACTCAATGCTTTGCAGCATTACTAGAACTCAAGGTGGTTTAAAAAGTAACTTAGCTTCTTTTATCTTCCAAATTTCTGTTGTCTTTAACATGTTTTAAGTCACCGACTCTTAGTATGTGTATTTGCAAAGCTGCTATGGCACAAAGTCCCAATTATAATATATTATGAACATGTTTGCCTTTGAATGTCTTCCCCTGCGGGGCAGGGAAAATTATTTTGCTAAAAATGTTAGTATGTAATGTATATGTGGGAGCTCAGATAATATGAGATGTATAGAGTTGTTTTTTAAGTGGTCTCACGACATGTCTGGTCATGTTTGCTATCAAGGGATAAAACTTGCCAATTGAATGGAATCAGGGTGAGCTTTCTGTTCTTATTTAGAGATGGCAGCAGACCAAATACATTGATGATGGATGCAAAAGACTGTTCTGTGTCAATGTTAAAGGTTTGTATTGGTTTGCCTTTGAACAAAATGAAAGTACACCTGTTCTCTTGGAATAATTGATTGATAGTTTAATATATTTTGTAATTAATGCACAGCTATGTTTCTGACAGAACTTTAAAAAATAAAGTAAATAAACTGTGCACTGGATGTTGCATCTTTATTCATATGGAGGGCTATTCAAAAATATTAACTGATGCAGGACTGCTGTGGTAGTTTCTCTGTCTTGTGGGTTTCAGAAGTGGCTGGTACCATATAGTGCCAAGAAGGCAAAGAATGTATTTCAAGATAAAAAGCTTCCAGAATTTATAAAGGGTAGTGGTACTTTTATTCATTACTAGAAGACAGAGCTCATGTAATAGATAATAAACTAAGTGTTCTCATAATCATACTGTAATTGAAGATGTAACTCTCAAAAAAGCTGCACACTATCACCTCACTGGCCACATATCTGCTTGCTCATTTTATTTGTCATAAAAACAACTATGGGCTGAAACTGTGTTGCAGGAGACTGAGATCAGAAACCAGATGGTGTTCCTCTGGCAGTGAAAGAAGTATGGACTTTACTGCAATCTCTTGTTTATCTCTCTGGATCTGTTTTTAATAGCATCTGCAGGAAGGGATATTCCAAACCTTAAGATTCTTCTGAGTAAAGTTAGTGGTATTGTAATAATGTGCTGTTAATGTCAAGTTAATTATGACTTAGTCCTTCATCCATTAGGATGGTCCTAATAACTTCCATGAGTAATGGATAGGAAGGCCTGCTCAGACATTGGTTATCTGTTGTGTTAATCCATTTTTAGTGTTCCATACATTAAGTGCACTAAAATCTTTTGATAAGATGGATTAATAATGACCTTTTTTTAAGCAGGAAAAGCTAATATTTGCAGCTGCCCCAAGAATGGAAAATCCACGTGCAGAAGAACAGCTATGCAGGGGCATGTTCACACCTGTGTAAATACAAATATACATACATACACCCATGTACCTGTACATTTCTGAAAAAAGGTGGCTGAACTAGATATGGACCAGGATACTCTGACTGGATATTTTCCTGAACAAATACCAGTTCATTGCAGAGACTTCACAAGAAGAATGTGTTTGTTTTAGCTAAAATCCTTAACTAGAGCCAAACCAGTTGCTTTGCTACCTTCCTCATCCCCAAAAAGCATGAGCCCAACACTCCAGCTGTTCTGGCTGGAAAGAGAAACTCCCTGTGCCGTTCCTTACTACACTGCTAAACTTCAGCTCTTCTGTGCTGTCTCTCATTTAGGAGCTGTGACTATTTAGCCTGTTCCAAGACAGCATTAACTGAGGTCAACAAAGCTTCCTGAATTAGCCCTGAAAAGGGTTGAGTGTGGTATTGGCATATGCAGCAAATACAAGGGAGCACAAGGGGAAGTTAATGGACCAAATATGGTGAGGAGGGAATGCCAGACCTGTCCGGATGAAATGAGTAAGAGGGCTGATGAATTCTGCCTGTTACTCATCTTGGCTTAAAAAACAAAATTAAAAAATAAAAATCTCATACCACTCAAATAGGAAATTTTTATGTTAGCACAAAAACTTACCAAAGGAAACACTTCCCTGGCACTGGTCTCACCCTCATCACTGAGCCTTTGTCCACTCCATCTGGAAGGGAGAGCTTGACCACCCTGGACTGAATCATGCCATCACCACCCTCAAAGGACCTGACAGTCTTAGTGACCTTGAAGTACTAAATGTCAGGAGCTCTGGCCTTCAGGTCTTTTTCCTTTACTGGTTTTAAATTCTTACAATTAAACCTAACCACCTTGATAAATATGTTTCTGAGCACACAGGCAGATACATGCTTAAGTCATTTTAAGCTTGTCAGGGCTCAGAATGGGTGAAGAGTTCATGCTAGTTCTGCAATCCTTTCCAGTTCACAACAGCATAAAAAAAAGCCAACCCCCAGCCAGAGCCGTCCTTGTTTCTCCTGTCCTCTTTTTTTCATTTCCTCTTGTCTGCACGCAAGCAGAAAGACTCTGAAGTAGTGGTCATATCTTGAGTCCCTCCTCACTCATGTTTTATCCCAAGTGGACCTTTTGCCACCACTTCTCAAGTCTTCTAAAAAATTGCAATTCTTCCTGTTTCAAAAAATAGAAAAATAAAAAACAAACAAAAAAAAACCCTGTAAAAAATAATTTATCTTGCTAGTGCATGCTGGATGCAGAGCAAATAAAGACTGAGCTACAGCATCATGAAGATAATTTTTCTGCTGAAATGCTGGGGCCTCTGCTTCACTGTCTGGTCTTCTGGTGGTCACATTCTTTGAACATGTGTTTGCTCCACTGAAACAACCTCTCGCATTTCCCAGCTCTGAAAGTTGCATTTTGGCTGGGGGTTTTCCTCTCCGACGGAAGAGGAAACTTCATGAAATCGCTCTGAGGCAATTGCGCAACAGGAAAAATAATTCCTTTATTAGCTGCAGTCCCAGCCTCAACCAATGACCCTTCTTTTCCTTTTGGTTTGTGCTCTGGCTGATCTCTGGGGCCATGGAGCACGAGTGTTCCTGAGTTCAGCGATTTCATGCTGCTCCTTTGTTATAGTCTGCTCTCTGTTGCCTCCAGGAGCTGGCTGCTCTGCCATGCCAGGGGGATGCTTATTGCAGCCAGGCACCTGCTGAGGAAGCGGGAAAAGCCCTGCTCTGCCCACAGCCCTGAAGATTCCAGCTGAGAGTTTCTCATTGAGGTACCAGCAGGTTTGACTTGACTTGGCCAGACTTGACACTCTGGGGCAAAATGGATTCATAGGCTATGTTTTCTGGTGGCTTTTGTCCAGAGACTTATCTCACTCAACAGGGAAGGGAACAAGGTATAAACAGAGCAGTGTTTTAGCAGTTGAGTACTGACAATTTTTAAAAAAACTCCTCCATGCTCTCAGCTGATTAGAAGCAGGAGAGATAGCTTCCTAAATACCCTGTGATAAACTGTCCAGAAATGTGAGGTTTCAGTTTCTTAGCCCTCTCAGACAGAACCTGATTTCCATGAAACTCAGCTGATAATTAACACACTGGGGGAAAAAGAAAAAAAGGAAAAGGCAATGACATGAACCTTTCCTTGTCTCACCTGATGTGCAGAGTCCTGACCCTGCTACAGACCTGTATTAACAGCTTGCTGGTTTTCCCTTCTGTCTTCAGCAGCAGCTGGTCCAAGAGTTTGGCCTGTTAAATCCTACAACAGTATGCTTGAGTTAGCATTAGTATTTTCATTCTGCCTGCCTGCATGGACTTGTTTCCCTCCACGATTTAACTTTGTTAGCAAAGGCCAAGGTCATATCTGGCCCAAATGATTGCTTTATTAAAGCCAGCAACAGAAAGCTAAGGAGCGAAGGTAAATGCCAGGGAAAAGTGACACATACAAGTGTTCCTAGTTTCAGTATCACACCCAGGTGTGATAAACTTCACAGTGTGGAGTTTAGACTTGCCTAAGCAAGTGCCTCCAGTGTGATTCACCTTCTAGAAACAACTCCCTGAACCTGAGTTTCTTCATGCAAAAGTCCTTTAGATAGGCATGTGCCTGTACTCATCCTTCTAGATAAAATGCAGTGACTGAATACTTTAAATTCATCTTGGTGATCTGTACAGAGTGTGCTTTTGGGTCATCTGGGAATGGAAGGGATTTGGACTTTATATGGGTAAAAATATAATTATCCTGAAAAGCAAGTCAGTACTGTTGGGAAACCAGGAAAGTGATGAAAGGCCACAGTGGATTTCTTGGTTCCTTGGCTGCTTTCAAACAGCAGTGGAAACCAAGGAATGAATGCAAAGGACACGTATTTTAACCTCTGCCTGTTTCTGGTTCCTGTATAGTCTCAGTCCAGTTGTAATCTTCTCAGACAAATAAAGTAATTATAAAGATAACAAACTCGATACAAAAATAAAAAAGCATATGCATAAAAAGACATGTTTTAAATTATTAAATGTAGTACTGTATTGATGTACTGTGTTAAAAATATACAAATGTATACTATAAATAGATCATGTACAATACATAATAATGTATTTCTATAAAGATAAGAAAAATAAATTCTAACAAAAATTGCCCCAGTCCTGTCCAACTGTCCCCAGATTTTTGAGCCAGAACAGTGCATCCAACACCACCACATGTCCTTACCAAAATGAGAAAGGCTAAAAGCGTGGGTAAGCCTTTCTCCCATGGAATTGTACTTACTCATAGTTCCTTTGAGCCACATCTCTAATCCTGCGTTCACTTTTGGACCCCTCACTGCAAGAAAGACTTTCAGGGTTTGGCCCATGGGTTCTGCTCTCCTCACCCTCCCAAACCCCCATTTTCTGCAGTGGTCGAGTGGTTTCTCGGTAGAAGCCAGGCCAGAGGCCGCACAGCACACAGGGCACACAGCGGGTGCCAGCTGCTGTCCCAGGCACAGCCCGCAGAATGGAGGGCAGGCTCGGAGGGTAAGGCACAGAGATAGATTTACTTGCCTCTAAGGCTCTCAAAAGCCCCTCGGAGGCTCCCCCAATAAAAGCAATCCCAAACAAGCAATGCAGGAAGAACACATCTGCAAAGCAAGTCACTCCCTCAAAGGCCTGGTTCTGCTCTGCTGGTCTCTCCACAGCCCCTACAAACAGCAGTGTCTGCTGCTGAACAGACCCTCACTCCCTGTTTCATATAGAGCCGAGTCTTTGTAAGCACAAGCCAGAGGAGAGGAGAGAGGCTGCTGCTGCCCTCTGAAGGCATCACCAGCTCATGAATCAATCAGCTAACCACAACAATTAATCAGGAAAAAAAGAAGAAATATGACAGAGGTCCAGATCTTGAACAATTTTCTCTCCACTCTGTAAATCCCAGACAAAGCAGGACAGCTATGCAGACAAACAGTGAATTAGATGAAGCATTGGGTAAAGCCAAAGAAATAAGCTTTTGAAAGTGGGCTTTTTTTGTTTGCCTGACAAGCGTGGGTGTCTTGTTCACACCAGCTCACACATTTCAATAGACTAGGAGGAGGCTCATAGCAAATGCCCTCACGTCTCATTTACTGCAGCATTTACTTCGATTTCAAAGAACAGGACTTTTTAAAGACTACAGGACCCTCTGTGACAGGGGGATGACTAGAAGGTGGCAGCTCCTTTTCCCTGAAGTTGTTAAGGAAACTTTCCACT